GTAGTCAACATCAGAGGTGACAGTCTGTTTCATGCTAACAAAACATAATTGTCAGGCCTGACAATTGTGTTTGTTGCCTCTGGGTGTTGACTACAATGTCCGCTTATATTATTTATCAATGTCACCTAAAAGTAGTTTTGGAAATTTAGAGCACAACCTTTTCATGAATTTGTAGCTGAATGTTCAAGTACCATTTTAGGAATTTGGTGAAATTTTACATTTGCAATTGATTTTCATCCATGTAATAAAAACATTAATTAATAATTAGAAATTGAAAAAAGAAAAAAAAAGAAAAAATGGTTTCCTGATCTAAATTAATTTAAAATGCTTTCAGTGGAAATATTGATTTCCACTGAAAGCATTTTACTCATGAACAGGAATCTGTTTTATGAACCTCCTCACAAAATGGAAAAGTGAACTGCAAAAAAAAAAAGAAGAAAAAAAACTATTAAACCAAATGTTTTTGACCAGGTTGAGTACATTATAATCAATAGTCATACATAATGTACTTGCTTGTTATTTAAGGCATTGTACACAATCACCTGTTAAAATTGCTCATTAAGCAAAATGACTAATTTTTTGTTGCAATATCTTGTTTAAGTTGTCTGCCTTTGGCCAATCCTAGATGACGCTGCTGAAACTATTTTTTTCTAGGTAACCTTTTACAAAACAAAGATTTAAATGCTCAAAGGAATGAATAGATTTTAATTTTGGAAAACCAGTGGCAGTTAAATTTACTGTGCCAAAGTTGACAATGACAGTATTAGTTTATCTTATAGTGTTTATGGAAGAAATTAGGACGTGTAAATTAACCTTTCTAAAAGCTGATGAAAGAATAATTTATTCCAGATGGTGAACCAATTTATGAGAGGAAAAAATGCTTAATTTCACAAGAATCTGATTAATGAATTCTTGATTAAAAATTTTATTTGTTTATTCAGTTTGCTGTTGACGTAATAATTCAGTATTTAACATTTAATTACATCTGTTGCATATCCATCGTATCAAAGAGTTCATACATCCCCCATATATATATATATATATATATATATATATATATATATATATATATATATATATATATTGAATAAAAGTACCAAGCTCTGTTTCAACTTCAAGCGAAATTTTTTTTTTTTTTGAAACAGAGCTTGGTACTTTTAATTCAAATAATTATATTGAAGTTTTCGGCTCTTGTTTTTGAAACATGGGAACTCTTATGTAGCGATGGAATCATATTTTAAATAAATAATTATATTTATGCTCTACTTTTGTATCGAGCACTATTTTTTAAAAATAATAACAAAAAATACTAAAGAACTTTGGATTATTTACCTAAAGAGTTCACACACACACACACACACACATATATATATATATATATATATATATATATATATATATATATATATATATATATGATGCGGCTATGGTAATGTCCCTTTTTATTCATTCACTTTTATTGAACAAAAAATAAATTGCAGTAGTTTAAAAAAATTTATAAGTATTGTCATATCAAAAGAACGATTTGTTAAGATTAACAAACTATTTACCATGTTCAAAATGCCTCTTCTTCATGTTTAATGCAACATATCCACCTAAGCTCAAGATTAAGATTTAACCTTTCTTGAACGTGTAATCCAAAGTTAATCTGAAACAATCTTAAACTATTGTAATTTATTTTTGTTTAATAAAAGTTAATAAAAAAAAAGGGGGTGCTACTTTTACCACATCCTCTGTATAGAAGGGTGAGCTAAAAAGTTCATAAGCTTTCCAAGATATTCCCATGGAATATGAACAAATGAGGTTTATTTTTCAACATTAATACAGGCAATGGAGTAAATTCCTCCTTCAGATTTTAGTTTATTGTTTTGTTTAATATTGACTAAAACTGTCATTGTTTTGGATGTAGTAGTAACAAATTTTATGTTAAGTTTAGAAAAATTCTTCTCTTTTTTTTTTTATTGTAGATTTGATAGTTATTTGGTAGTCTACAGAGAATCAACTTAAACTTTTACATAGAAAAACTTAGTTGTAAATAGAAATGTTAAATCGTATTTTTTTTTAAACCTCATCACAATTATTGGAATTTTATTTATATTAATTGTAGCTATGACTAATTTACAAATGCTGCTTATAACATAATCCATTTCATTTTTCACTTTTTCTTTTTCTCCCATTCGGTTTCTTTTTTCTATGTTATTTTTTTTTTTTTTTTACTTCTCATTTTTCTAATCCGCTTTCATTTTCTTCCCTTCTTTTTATTCGTTAAAGACAAAAACAAGTACCTCCTATTTTTACTCTGTTATTTGTTCAACACATGTTTATAATTTATTCTTATTGACTTACTAGAGAAGAAATGTCACAGAAGTCTTACAAATCTGCAAAATTACTAAAATTTAAATCTAAAAATGGGCTTATCTTCTCCTTATCTCTGGCTTCTAATATAATAATTTGAAAATATATTTCTTAGTGTTTGGTAGATTTTCTTTCTGCTTTCTTTTTTTGATTTGATATCTTTATAAATTCTTTTACTGCCACCATGTATGAAATTCTCTTTGGGTATCTATAAATAACTGTGACATAAATCTATTTTGTGAACACATTAGCAGGTTTGATTCAGTGTTTGAAAGCTGTTACTTAGATCCTTTCTGTCAGTCAAGCTTTTTGTTGTCCGTAATGAAATAGAACATTAATGATTCCATGCATAATCTTTATAGAAATCAATAAACGTTATCATTAACGAAAGCTTTTGTATATTTTAACAACCGACTATTTCTGTTCTGACAAATACACAGCATGAACATATGCTTAACAGCTTACATGGAAAAATGAAATAAAAAAGATATCTAAAGATAGAAGGGAACATGTATAAAAATAGAACGTTGAATGAGTTTATTGAGCTCTATTATTTTATTGATTTTTATTTATTGGGTTTTATTTTATGATGAAAAACATAATATCCTGCTGCAGAGTGACCACAATAGGGATGCACATTCTTTGGTTCTTCTTAAAATTTTGACCAATCATTTCCTCTTCCCATTTCATAACTGTTTCATCTTCTATTTTTATAAAAAATAAAATTGATTTTACTTGTAATTACAAAATAACTTAACCTATCCAATTGCGAACACCATCATTGTATTTGTTAAACTGACTGTTTTTTTAAAATTCCTAATAGTATCCTATTATTCATTTTAGGGTATCTTATACACTAAGCGATGTGTAAATTGTCGCCATTTTATATTTTAAATTTTTCACATGTGTGTTGTTTATTTTTGTTGATTGCACAGTATAATAGGGTCAGTTGGGCACCATCTGTGAGAAAAAGAGCATCATGTTGCAATTCACTTTGCCAGAAATTGGGAAACAGCATTCGTACTGGAAGCTACAATATGAACATTTCAGAGTGTTGATTCAGAAAGAGTGTTTAGCATGATCACTATTGATGGCAATATTATGCCTCAATTCATCTTCCCACAGGACCTTAGACAGACTGAAGATGGAGACCTACATCAAGTGCCTTGAGGAGGTAGTGCTGCCCTGGGTCAAGTGGGTGGCTGCTGGAAGAACCTATGTCTGGCAAATAGACTCTGCACACAAACAGGAGAACCCAGTCATCTGGCCCCCTTCACTTCCCAGACTGCAAACCCTTTGATAATTATGTGTGGAACACAATTGAGCAAGAGGCCAACAAAACTCCTTGTTATACCAAAGATGATCTGAAGGCAAGAAATATAGCAGCATTCACCAACTTAAACAAAGAAAGCATCCAGAAGAGTTGCCAGAGATTCCAAAGATGTCTGGAGGCTGTGGTTGAAGCCAATAGCAATTTTATTGAATAAATTTACTCTTTAGTATTTCAAGATATTTTTGTGTAATTTTAGTAAATATATCTGTTAAAATGAAATATTAGTGTTATTTCCAATTTTTGCATAACTTAGACGACAATTTATCCATCACACTCTGTATATATGCTGGTTCTCTCTGGCCTTCATTTACTAATTCTGTTTCAGTACAAATTTGTCATTCAAGTATAATTCTGTTATTAGTCATTTCTAAGATAAAAATTATTTATATGCTGATAAGCTTTAAATGTATATACATTTTTCAGACATTTTGAGTAGATATATACACAAGTTTAAAAACAATAGATAAAGATTTGTTCAAACAAATATTTTACATGCAAACAAGAGTGGCTGTCTGAATCCAATTAATGTAAATATTGTCGAAGTATTTGTGATTTCATGTTTTCAACCATACCTCTTGACATTATCAAGATCAAGAAATAAAAATGAATTTTATTCCTGAATATCTTTTTGGAAAAGTTTGTATTTGCCATTTCTTTTATATAGATATTCAGTTTGGAAATAAGATTTAAAATGCATTTAACAATTGATAGATTTTTTTTTTTTTTTTTTTTTTTGAATCATTTCACTAAGGCAATAAAGCCACTAAAACACAGGGGGTTACTGAGTGTAAAAGAATATAACAAAAGAAAAACATTATTAAGGAGGGAGAACAATAAAAGAACAGAAATTAAGACAGAAGATAATGATTGAAATAGCATTTACATTTTTGAAATAAGTTGAAGTTGAGTAGAAAGCAAGAGGCCAGAAGAGATTTCCATCTCTCCATTTCAACTATAAAATAATGTGACCTTGCTGTTTATTTCTTGGCTGTGACTTTTTTTCCCAGAATTAAAATCTCAGAATAATCAAAATTGTAGGCACTTTTAATTAAAGAGGGGAATTTTTTCTGTTTTTCTTCACTTCTATCTCCCACCAAAATATACATTTACAACAGGTTGTTTTACTTTTAGAGTTAAATATTCAAAAAGATACTTTGACATTTTTCGGGTTTTTGGGTTTTTTTTTTTTTTTACACATCTATTCTCTTCAATTAAAGTTTACGATACAGCAAAAATAAAAGTATAACTAAATTTAATCTCTCACATTGCTAATGTTTTTTTTTTCTACATGTTTTTTTTTATTTATTTCCAGAGGTTTGGTTTTCATAGCACATGGCTATGCAGAACACTGTTTGCGCTACACCCAGTTAGCTCATACTCTCATCAAACAACAACTCTATCCATTTTCCCACGATCATGGTGAGTCTTACACAAATACTCTAATCCATCTCTTAACTTCAGCTAATATTATAGAGAAGATATATTTTAATATTTTGAATAAAGGTTCTCTATAAAAAAAAAATAAAAAATAACCTGAAAAGTCAATTTTTTTTTTTTTATCAACCATATACTGATAATAAATTGTCAAATTTTCTTTTTAAATATTTCAAACTAAATACTTTCAGTAAATGAAAAGCATTCATGCAGGAGGATCATTGTTTTTATTTAATATTTTATGATTAATTCAAATTAAATGTTTCATTCTAAATAGCAGTTTCTTAATTTCTTCTTCCTACCAAGACACCATTTAAAATTATATTTTTATCCATGAACAAAACTTTTTTTTGTTTTGTTCTTTTTTTTGTTTTGTATTTTATTTTTTTTTGGGGGGGGGGTATATTAATCCAGAATTTTAGTTTGAAATTTTTATTTCTTTTTTTACATACTTTAATGTATTTTTCTAAAGACTAATTTTTTTTTTTCATCTGCTATGAGAAAAACACATTAACATATTTACATGTTACCTATTTTAGTAGAAAGATAGTGTTTTTGGGGGGGATGGCTTTTGTTTTAATTTTGATATTTGTTGATCAAGTCTTTTAATTGTTAATTTGTGTTGTTTAATTGTTAATGGTTTGATTAAAAATAAATTGAAAATATCCTTCATTTTTTTAATAAGTATAAAATTAAAATACATCTTTTGTCCTGGGTATGATGATAAACTACATCTGGCAGCAAGCCCTCTGATTGGGAGATTGGAGGTTTTGAGGATCATGGAAGCACCTTTTAACTGCTGCTGTTCCCAGATTCACCCTGATCCAGATATGGACAAATAGTGAACCTACAAACAAAAATCAATGGTACATTTTTATAATAAAATGACAGTCAATACAACACTAAAAAATATAAAAGTATATCTTTATAGTAAAATTACCAGCAATACATTTTTTAAAAAAAATTACCAACAGTACATTTTGTCGTCTGCAAAATATATATCTAAAAAAAAACATACATTTACCCAGAAAGTATAAAATTATGTACAAAATATTTAGATTTTGGCATTAAATAACCCAAACAAACACTAAACAAAATCAACCCACCAAATTGTATCTTTTATTTGTTTTGAAATTAATAAAATACTTTCACTATTGCCACTTTATTTCATTTTCTGAGTAAGATATTTGAATGACTAAAAAAGGAATGCAGAAAAGTACTTAGACTGGATAATCTACAGATATAAAATGCACTGTGTAATTGTGTACAGATACTATATTAAGTACGGATTGAGACAATAAAACTTTGTTCCTTGGCAGAAATGCCAAGTCAGTCATAAATAAAAACATACTTTTTTTGTACTATTGGGTTGGAACAAAAGTTTGTAACATTTTTCACTAGGTTTTATTTTAACACGTTTTGTTTGTGGATTTGTGAATTTTAAATATTTTTACATTAAAAGTGAAAAAGAAGAAAGATAACATCATATGAGTAAGGCATTTGAAACCTCATATGAGTAAGGCATTTGAAACATCATATGAGTAAGGCATTTGAAAACACTTGTCTCTGCTATGAGGTTTGGGTCCCTCACAGTTTAACAGAAAAAAATTAAATTTAACCTTAATCTATTTAATTTTTTAAAAACATTTTCTTAATCTAACAGCATATTATTTTTCTAATAAGGGAAATTATTTCACGTACTTTAGATTGAATCTTTTCATTTGTAAATGATCAAAATAATGTATTTAAAATGATCAGCAGTTTTTACCTCAATCAGTCAAGTTCCATGTGATTCACACTTGGGTGGTCATGACTCCTTCGAATCATTACTGACTAGGCAGAAGATTTTCTAGCAGTAGGTTGCTATTTCTTTCTATGGTAGACTGGTTGACAACCAAGGCTATAGAAGCCAGTCTGTCCTGCTATTCAGCCTATAGCTAGTAGGAGTAGAGATGGATTTATACCCTTTGCCAAGGGTAATTGCACTTAGTAATTGTAACAAACTTAACTGGAATTTGAACTCTGGTCTCTGATTTCTCATTCTGAGTTACTATTAACCACTGTAAAAGTTGATCTGCATCCAAAGTTGATGCTTTGTATCTAGTAAGATTGGAAGGGCTCCTTCTGCAAAATCAAACATTGAATTCAGACAAATACTCTTCCCAATTGAATTGATGAAAAGAATCTCAAATTGGCCAATTGAATGATTGTTGTCTTCATCAGGGCAACAACAAATCTCACATCTCTTTGAAGACCTGGCAGAAATTAATATGGCTACACTGGGATGCCCTTCTACACCTGCTAACTTTGCACCTGACTTTGCACCTTTGGATGGGCACTTATTGCAATCCCTATAAAACTCCCTTAATGGGAAGAACTTCAGTTCTCTGGAAGCCTGCAAAAACTATGTAGACACATTCAACATCCAGAAAGATGCAAAGTTCTGGGAGGATGGAAACTTGAAGCTGCCTCAAAGATGGCGAAAGGTAGTGGAACAAAATGGCATGTATGCGGTTGAACAAATCTATGTAAAAATAGATAAATATTTTGAATTTCTCATAAAAAATGTTACAAACTTTTTTCCCCAAGAAACACAATAAAAGGGTATATTTTCTTGGTTATAGCAGGTGAAGTATGGCTTTTAAACTTTACTAAAACAATATAAAAAAAATCCTCCTATTATGATCTCAATATCTATTTTATTTACCCATTTTCTTATGCGTGTGTGTTCTGACCCCTGGTATGTGTGCCAGATAAATGACTTATGGCAATCAAAACTCTGAAGACAGATCTGTTAATGAACAGGTCTATTGAAAGCCAAGAGGGTGTGACTAGAAAAAGAAATAAATACAAACTTTAGACTAGTTTAGTCAGAATAACAAAATAAAAGGTAAAAAGAAATAGAAAAGAGAAATATAACAAAGAGGCCTGAATGTGAATTGAGACGATTGGGTCTAAATGGCTAACGGAAGTAACAGGTAGTTTGCTTACAGGAATATGTCATAAAATTTACAATGGTATGTTCTCAGGAAGGAAAAAAGTTATATGAAGTTACAGTTTGAGAAGTGTTTATAAACAGTCAACAAGTGGTGAAAGGGGTTTCTACATGGAGAAATGTAACAGTAAAATAAATGTATACAAAGGTGGTTGCCTTAAACAAATGTTTAAATAATATATTAAAGGAAACCAATGCAGAGAGAAAACGGTTAGAAAGATACATAGCAGTTATGCTATCATTAGTGATAGATTTTGGAGGATAATAAAGTAGAAACCATATACTTTGACCACTATGTGTTTTATTGTGCCTATTCCAGTATTTCAGCCACACAAGCAGAAGAACCCAGTCATGACTGTAAGACAAAATCTGCACTCCCATCACCTCTTACATTTGGCCACCTAATGCCCCAGATTGCAAATCCCTTGATTATTATGTGCGCAGCACAGCTGAGCAGAGAAAACAACAAAACTCCTTGTAATACCAAAGATGAACTGAAGCCAAGGATTATGGCAGCATTCACTAACTTAAACAAGGAGTGCATCCAAAAGAGTTGCAGGAAATTTTAAAATTGTCTCAAGGCTATGGCTTTATTGAATAATTTTACTTTAGTATTTGAAGATATTTTTGTATAATTTTAGTAAATATATCTGTTAAAACGAGATGTCAATGTTATTTTCAGTTTTACATAATTTACATGACAATTTAACCATCACATCCTGTATGTATATATATATATATAATACACACACACACACTGTTCTATATACTGCATCCCTTCAAGACATGAGTAATCATGGATCTCTACAATCTCCTATCTGTTTTTCTCCCTTTGCTAAGTCTTCCACCATCCATTCACATCTGGTAGGGTGGCCTACTGCTTTCTTCTGTCTCTCTTGTCCCCTCTCTATGCCCTATGAAACTTAAGTTTTCCATGCATTCTTTCCTAATTATGTGTCCAAGAAATTCCATCCATCTCTTTAATTCTATGTACATGTTCTTTTGGTTACCATTTTTTTTTTAAGCAATGAGGAAATCCTCATTGCTTACTCACTCCATCCATGGAATTCTCAGTATCCTTCTATAGAATCCCATTTCTGTTGCCTTCAGTTTCCCCTTCATTTATGATGAGATTGTTCAGCATCCACTCCTATACAAGAGAATTGATATTGCATAACAATTCAGCACTCTTTTCTTTATTTCTAACCAAATTTTCCTGTTTCTCAGAACTTCATTTCAGTTTTGGAACACTTCTTTCACTATTCCAATAAATATTTGGGTTTTGCTATTGCATTTCCATTTCTCTGTTAAAAAAACTTCCCAGGTATTTAAACTTTTATACTTGTTTTTGCTGTCGACATCTCCCCATCTGTTGTTCACAGCTTAGGCTGTTTTCTCTATACTTTGTTTTCTTACAGTTGATGGCTAATCTTATTTCTCACTTTCCTTTACTACCTTTTACTTACTTTTTCTGCATTTAAAACATGACATTTCCATATTCTATATGGTTGAGATTGTCGCCCAGCCCCCACACACCTCAATAATAGTGTCTGCAGCTCCTTTAGGATAGACTCACTCTAGAGTTTGGACAGATCTGGAGAGACAACACATCCTTGTCTTATGTTACATTCAGTTTCTGTGTAGCTACTCAGTTCATTTTTCTGTCCGTATGCAGGAACAGTATGCTCCCAGTATAAATTCTACATTATTCTAACATCCTTTCTGAATAAATCTAGATCCTTTAACTCTTCAAATAGATCTTTGTGCTATACCTTGTCAAATACTTTGCATAATCTATGAAAATAAGTGTGTATATATATATATATATATATATATATATATATATATATATATATATATATATATATATATAAAAACATTGAACAAAATTGATTACAAAAGAGATATTTATATCACGGATATTGAATATTTTATGTGAAAAACCAATTTCTGACACTCACAAAATACTGGTTTGAATGTGGGTTTAAACATTGAATTTACTCAAATGCCATTTCCGTCATCTGTTTTGATAACTTTTTTTTTTTTTCTTGTCTTTACAGTGGGCCATGGTCAAAGTGAGGGAGAAGAGGTTAATGTGTTACATTTTGATTATTTTGCTCGTGATATAATCCAACATATCAACATGGTGAAAAGTAAATTCCCAGGCATTCCAGTTTTCATCATTGGACATTCTATGGTAAGAAGCAAAACAATACATGCCATTACCTAGTTAAGAGATTCAACTTTTATCTAATATTATTGAACCTACCTTGTTCTCTGCTTTGCAACATATTTTTTATATAAATGAAATCAAGTGAAGAATTCAAAGCACTGCTTCCCAATACACAACCGAATGGCAAATTTTCAAATTAATATCATCACCTCAATAAAACAGTGTCAGTTTTTACATGGGGACCATGTGATATGTAACCAAAGACCCTCAGAATCTAACCAATTTCTGCCTGATGTCAAAAACTTATACAAATCCACCATTAATTTTACTCCATTTATAATGATAAAATCAGGAATTTACAATATTTCTATTTGAACTATTGTCTTCATTTTTGTTCTTGTTAGTTATCATGTCATTTTGTCATTGCGCTCTCTGAAAGTCTTTCAATGCCTGTCAATCTGGGTAAACTTCAGAGAATTTTGAATTGGACCCTTTATTTAATCTATTGTGGATAGATTTTTTTTGTTCCACAGCCAGTTTGGCCTAGTGGATTAAAGCATTGCTTCATGAATTTGGTGACATAGTAATTGTGAGTTCAATCCCAAAACAGACAAAATTATAACCATTTCTTGCCAGTTTCACCAAAAATGAAATGACAAAATTAATTCAAGGCTTTTGACCAAAAAGAGTTAGAAAAATATTTAGTATTTCATAACAAAAATAAGATGCATATTTAAATAACAAATTCATGCTGATTTAATCATATTCAAAACCAGTTTGCATTTGCTTTACTTTTTTCAGGGAGGTTGCATTGCATTGAGAATCAGTCTCAAAAGGCCTGATTTAATAAGCAAAATGGTTCTTATTGGTCCATGTGTCATTCCATTTAAAGAGGTGAACAATTTTTGTGTGGTAAGTTGAATATATATATATATAACATAAAATAATATAGCATAACTTAAAACTATATTTTTATCACACACACACACACACACACACATATATATATATATATATATATATATATATATATATATATATATATATATATATATATATGATAAAAAATATTTTTAAGTTATGCTATATTCATAGTCTGTTTAAATACTAAATTATTACAAAAATAAACAAATGTTTTAGACATTTCTTATTGGTCTGAAATAGACATGACAGTTGTGTTGCTGGAGTCATCACTCTCATACATACACATACATACTGACATGAGTGGTTCTAAAAGGTTCTTAATTTCCCAGAATAAGTATTGATGTTTAATCATTAAAATACCCTTTTTAGATCTCTAAGGATTTTAATTTTTTTGTTTTTTGTTCTTCCTTTGTCTCTTCTTTAAGATACAAAGAAAATCAGACAAGCATGAATTTACTTGTAATTCTTTTTTAGATTCTAAACTTACATCTCCATATGTATGCTTTATTACTGCGCTAAATGCACAAGTTGTTACCATAGTTACAATTATTTCTAATACAGACCAAGAGCAAATGTCTCATAATAAAACCTAATGAGCCTGTATATTTTGAGAATAAACACTTCAAATACATGTTCCCTTCAGATACAATTACATAATTCAGTTGTTAGCAACATACTTGTTTAGGGGCACACCTACTTAAAAGGTTTCAAAACAAAGTTACTCCAATAAATATATTTAGAAAAATCTTTTTCTTTTAATATGAATGTGTAACTCTAGCATATAATGATTTCTCATTCTCTTACATGGGGCTACCCAAAGGTTCAGTCAGTTTGAATACTGTAATATAGCTTTTGTTCTACTACTCTTTGTTAGCTGTAAACTGACACAGTTTTCAGTATCATAAAAGTACTATTTTGAAGGAGATAGTGGAAACTAGGCATTAGTGTAAATTTTTTTTATTGTTTTAAAGATCAAATTCAAAGAACTTTTGGATAGTATTTTGTGTATGAGTAAGAGACATTGATTATGTGATTAACATAAGCAACCAGTTGCCTTAACTCAAGATCCTTAGATAGGAATTAGATGTAATTGGTGCAAAATAATAATTCCCTTCACCCACTCCCTTCAAATTTGGAGGGTTAAGGAAGAAGAAAGGAGTTTATGTGAAATATACTTTGGACTAATGAAAACCTTGCCTTCATAGAAATTAGCTGGTCAGTCAAGAAGAAAAGAAAATTTGCGAGCCTGTCCCAAATTTCATTTTGATATAAAATGAGAAAAATTAATAAGAGAAGAGTGTCTGAAGTCATGTGAGAAATATTGTTTCAGTTTCTCGTGACTTGCATTGAAGTTCTTGCCAGTGTGTAAATTATTTGCTAATTATATTATTGGCTTCTAACCAGCATCTGGGACATTTTCTCTCAACAATCCAAGAAAGCTAAATATTTCAAACTATCTCTCTTCATCTATTTTTGAACCTATGCAACCATATATCCATTCAATGAGCGATGAACTTTCTTACCTTTGATTTAAATGTTTTGAATATTATTTTGTGCCAGATCATCTAATATTTCTTCTTCAGGACAATACATTAAATCTACATAGTTAAGAATTCAGATTTATTTTCCTGAAATGAGCTACTGACACTAGTTCAAGCGTATAAATTTATGAATAAATTCCTTATCTTTTTTTGTTAAAACTACCTGTGTATTTCCTCATCATTATCATCCTCCATTAATCTTTTTGGCATGGATAAATCAACTGTCCATTTTAATTCCTAAGCCCCACACCACTATAAGGCTTCCATTATATACAGTTAAATGCTTTGTTTTCAAATTGATACATTACCCTCCAAAAGTTCATCACCTAACATTTTTTTTCAAAAAAAACCTCTATAGAAAGGAAATAACTCAGAGATTTTGGGTAAATTTTTATTAAATGTATAATTACATTCATTAAGTAACATATTTTTACTCTGTGACAAAACAAAAATATGAAAATTACAAAATGTAAGATTCATCAAAATATCCACCCTTTGGCATTCTTTCAACCAATGAAAGCAAATATATGCACTTGTAATGTTTTTGCCACTCATCTTTTAATAATGTCCACAAGGTTTCTGTACTACTTGGTTGTTGCTTTTTAACTCTGCTGTCCAATTCATCCCAAACTAATTTGATGGGGTTACAGTCAGGTGATTGAGAGTGGTCATTCCATGACATTAACTTATTTTCTTCTGCAAATAGTTTTTACATCATTTAGAGGTATGTTTCAGGTCATTATCTTGCATGAAAACAAATCTATTACCGATCAGCTGCATCCCAGATGGAATGGCATGATACTGTAGGATAGAGTGATATTCATGTTGATTCAATATTCCCGGTACCCAATAAATATCACCAGCTGTATTGCCTGCAAAACAACCCCAGATCTTCACATTGCCCCCACCATGTTTTACAGTTGGTACATTACAGGCAGTAATCATTCATTCATTAGTTCTTCATCTCACATACACTCGCCTTCAAGATCCAAAGATCTCAAACTTGGATTTAGCAGTCCAGAGGACTTGTTTCCATTGATCAACTATTCAGCTTTGATGTTTTTTCACCCATATGAGTCACTTATGTTTATTCACCAATTTAAGCAGTGGTTTCCTGGCAGCAGAACAGCCATTTAGGCACACTGCAGTAAGTCTTCTTCTAACTGATGATGCAGAAACTTACTTGTGCAATTTGAGGGACTGTCAAATTCCTGAACTTGTGATTTGGAAGTGGATTTTGGCCGACCTGATCTGCGGTCTGTCATTATTTTTGCCTATTTCCACATTTCTCACAATAACAGAGCAAACTGCAGTGTATGAAACTTTAACATTTTTGCCTATATCTTGGAAATTATAGCTTTCATAATATAATGGTTTACCCTCTTCTCAGGTGATAAACTACACTTCTTGCTAATATTAAGATTGAATCTGCAAAATAGAAATTATTATTAATATTTTTAATAATTGAACCTAAAACACATAAGAACAATTATGAAACATATTTAGTAGTGTTTCCTCATCTGACAATGCATAAGGAGTGCCAATAGTGACACTGGACTCCATTGTTGCAAAATAGAGGTCAGCCTCCTCACACTCAGAGTGCCAGGTAAATGAGGTACTGCAATAAAAAAAAAAAAAAAAAAAAAAAGTTATTTCATATTGAATGTACCCAAACCTTTTGCAATGCGTTATTTTGTGTAATTTTACCCCAAAACTATCTGTATTTATAAAATTGAACATAAAAGTCTGCTTTGAAATTTAATTTTGTAAGTGATCTTAAACTTTTGGAGGGCAGTGTACATTAAAAAGAAAGCATTTTACTAGCTGACCAATCAAAAGTCTACTTTTTCCACAAAATCAATGAATATTATTATTGTTAATCTGATTTGAAATCTGTACAAAACTCCTTTTAATGTTTATAAAGTAAGTTTTGATTCTAGCCTGAAGTTTCACCTTTACTCTCTGTATGTAAAATTTATGACTGACTTTTACATAGGATCTACCTGCTCCCAATTCTTTTTATAACCAAACTGAATATTTTCCTGTTCTTTGTTCTTTCAGCGTTCTTTAGTGAAATTTCTGGGTGCCTTCTTCCCTGATTTTCCAATTTTTGTTAAAGTCAACGAAAACATGCTCACTTGGAATGAACAACAGGTATTGAATGAACCAATTGATTACAGTTTTGTCCTTACAATAAACAATTTTATTTTCATAAGAATTGTAGCATTTTTTCTTTTTTTTGTACATTTTTGTTGTTGATGGCATAATCAAGTATATTGAGGTTTTCTATTTATTTGTAAAATGTTCAACACCAGAGTAAGTAGCCTCTGTCAGTATAGTCGAAGTCCCCTCTCACTTTCTCAACTTGTTTATTGTTTATCTCTATCACAACACCTATCTCTCTGTTTCCAATACAAATAAATATGGGCCATTCTGCAAATGCCAAAATAGATTTATTTGGACAAAAAATATTAAGCCCAAGCCCGGGGGGGGCTTCTCCAAGGCAATACCTCTTCTTTGGGAGGGATCTGGATTTATTGCAAGCACCTGGGGCATCCCCAAAAGGGGAAGTGCTGAGGGGGCTTGGGCAATTTTTCCATGGTATTGCTGTTAAACCCACTTTAAACCTTGACCTTGTGTCATATTTGGTAATGACATAGACACACAAGAAAATACCTTATTATGACAATCATTTTATTGAGAATATCAAAAGCACATTAAACTGCCATCTTGAGGTTATCTGAAGTTACATGGCAACCAAATAAGACAAATAATTTCATATATGCTTCCAAATTCTATAAATAACCAAAGACTCTTTAGCATCATCAAAAAAAACAATAATTAATGGATCATATCAACCTTTAAATCCAATGTCTTTCATGCATGGCAAATAGAAAATGTGTGAAAAAGTATTCTAGGCAACTGATAAGAGATCCAAACTATGGAAGATTGTGGACCATGAAGTAATTGTCTGTTTTCATGAACTGCTCAGCTGACTGTTTTTGACAATGATCAAGTTATTTTGAATTCTGTCTCTTATAAAATAAAGTAAATATTTAGTCTAAAAGAATTCATGCACAATTACCAAGAAGCTTCTTTTTTTATTTTTTCTCCTTCCTTCTTAATCAAGTTTCTCACAAACTAAGTGATTTTGTCTTCATCATCAAATTCCAATTGTGTTCATTGAATTCATTTATGTGCAAATAACTTTAGGAAAAGTTATGAATCCATCTCCTCTTCAAGCTGTGGTTAAATGGTAGAACTTATATCTGCAAAAATTATTATTATTCTCAAAAAATTGGTAATGCAGTATTCAGATTAAAAAAAAATTCTTACAATACAAAATATGTTTTGGATTTAAATAAGCCACAAAAGATTGGTAAGTTATAAAAAAAAAAAACAAATCTATCACTGGTCCTCAGTGACTTCTAGGCATCCTGTTATATATTTTCATATAATTTTTCTTTCGGATCATAAATTTACACCTTATTATAATTACTCATGCTCTTTTACTTTATCTTTGAATTACAATGTCATGTGACATAGAATCCTCATGAAATCATATTGTGTTCTACAGAACAAAACCATAAAATGCTTTAACAGTTTCTAAGCACTGATAAAATTAGCTGCACTTAGTTTATCTATATAAAACTAAAATTTTAATTTGTATATTTTTGTAAGCTTGAAATAGTTGAAACTGTGCATTATAGTCAGAGGTATTAAGTTAAAATATATTAAATAATGCAAAAAGAATTCAGGTAATTTGAAACTGAATAATCCTATATAGTCTGCATTCACTCAAAATAAAGAATGATTTTCAAAAGAAATAACCATGAAATACTGATTATAGAGTATTATCTCTTATTTAGTGACTTAACAAGTTACAGAGTTGTCTGGTATTGCTTACAAACTGTTCTGGTTTGAATGTGCCTTCCATTGTCTGTTGATGTATTATTGTAAAGGTGAATTTGGAACGTCTTGGGGTATACAGTGGTGACCATCACAGGAAATAGAATCAAAGTTCAAATTTCAGTTGAAACCACTTATATTCATTTCATACTCTTGAAAAAGGCATGAATCTACTTCTCCCTAGTCTTTCCAATCAACATATATCCAGACAATGTTTTGACACTAGCATCTCTCATTGGTTGAAGAAAAGGAGAATGGATAAATAATCACTTGGTGTTGTGTAGGAAACCTACCACCCCTCTTGAAGATGAGCTTATCTACAAACAAAGACGTTAAATAGTGGCATGTCAAAAGACAGACAGAGGTCGGCGAAGTTCTTGGCTGGCTTTTGGTTATTTTTTGGAATTTTGCTGACAACTCGACCTTTTTTGTGTGATTCTACCTGTTGCCCTTTTGAACTGAATTTTGTTTAAAGTTTGTTTATTTTATTTGTATAATTGCGACCTCATTGTAAAAGTTTTTTTTGATTTTTTTCTTTTAACTCTCCATTTTTTTACCCTCCCCCTTTAATTTTTACTCTTTATTCTGTTTATTCTAGTTTTCCTATTTGTTTTTAATTTTTATTCCCTTTAATTTTTGCTCGTTTTTCTTTTTAATCTAGTTTGCCTTTTTGAATTTCATTTTTTCTCCTGTAATTTCCGCAGTTTTTTCTTCTCATTTCTACCCCATTAATTTTTGTTTTTTTTTATTCTAGTTTTCCGTGTTAATTGTCATTTTCTTTAATTTCTTCGTGTTCATTATTCTGTGTTTTGCTGTAATTTTTTATTAATTTATTTAATTGTTTTCATCCTTTTAATTTTTACGTGTTTTTTGATTGTAATCGTTTTAATTTATTTGTTTATTTTCTTTTGTTTATTGGTTCGACTCGCTTAGGGTCGGCCAATTTTATTTTTGTGTCTAGCTTCGTCTGTCTTCATTATGTATTTTTTTTGTTTATTGACGTTGGCCATTTTTGATTTTTGTAACTAGCTTTGTGTTATTGTTTCGTAATTTTTTGTTGACGTTTTGATTTTTTTAGCTTCGGCTTTTGTCAAAGTTTTTTCCGTTTTTTATACGTGTTTTTTCTTTTATTGTTTCGCCTTTAGGCGATATTTGTTTTTGTATTTTTAAATTTGTATAAGTGAATCGTATTTTTTGTTTTTATTTTTGTGTGTGCATATTTTATTTTATTGTTGTCTCACTTTAGGGTGAGTGTGTTTTATTTTTGATTCTATTTATTTAGTTTAATTTTTCCTTAATTATTTCCCACTCCTTTTACCCTCCCTTCTGGAAAAAAAAAATGGAAAAGAAGGAAAAAAAGGCGCCTTCTTTTTTAGCCAAAAAAAAAAACAAATTTGTCAGATTATAGGAAACCCATAAGGAAACATTTATTTAACCCCACCAAAAAAGACCCCCCCAGATAAAGACAATTTAAAAGATTACCCAGCCTTTGACGTAATTTCCCCTAGCGAGGATGTCGTCGCGGGGAAAAATGAAAACAAAAGTATGGAAGCCAAGAATGGGAAAAATGAAAATTCTACGGTAGCCAATAATAGCAATAAATCCCAAGTACACGAGGAAGCCAAAAATGGCTGTCAGGACAAAACCGAGGCCGGGGAATCGCCCTCTTGTTGGTCGTCCCTACCGAAATGTATCATCAATCTTGCGTGCTAAGAGTTACGCTCACCTTGTCGTAGAAGGTGGACTCTTAGAAGACCCCAAGAATTGAAGAGAATTGAAAAACGAATTGTGTCAGTTTTCGTCGTCGACAAGCGTACGCGCAAAATTTGTCGCTCGCCGAAAAACAGTGTTGAAAACACTAGAGTCCTTGTGGTTTAAGCCCCTAAGAATAGTTAAGGGTGCAAAATTCTTCATGTGGGACGTACTGTTACCCACACCAGAAGACTGCGTAGCAGCGGCGAGCCATGAGCTCATAACAAAAGAGCTTATCCTGCGTACGGAGTACGAAGGCCGCAGAAGGTCCAGATAACAGTATACAAGGTCCCTCCTCAAGTTATCGGGGAGCATCTCGCGGCGTTCTTTTCCCAGTACGGCGAAATTCTGGGCGCCTCCTGTGATAGCCTGAGCGGGGGGTGGAGCTTTGATATCATGTTGAACGAGAAAGCCTTCCGCTCCATCCCCAACTGTCTGGAGGTTGGAGGCTTGAAATTACCGGTCATAGTAACAGGCCGAAGACCGGTATGCTGGAGGTGTGGAGTGACTGGTCATCTCTCCTCCTCCTGCCCAGAGAAGAAGGCCTCTGGTAGTCAAGCCCCAGTTAACCAAGATCCCCCTCTGACCGCGTCTGTATCATCCGCCTCGCCTGTAATGGGCGTACCAGCTTCCGGGACCGGGTCGGTTAATCCTCCGGTTGGTGCAACACCAAAGACCACATTCCCCAAAGAGCCTTCGCCCGCTGCTAGTGCAGTTGTGGAGAAGGGAGAGGGGAATGGCTGGTAGCTGGTAAGGTCAGAGGGAAGCTCCGGACAGCGGGTCCTCAGTCCCCTGAAGCCCCGAGGGCCAAAGACACGAACAGCCCCACTCCATCAGGCAACGTCAAGGGCGATGCTCCGGCCTCTCTACAAGATAAACAAAAGAAATACGACCCGGGATTTGAGAAATTCGAAAAAATAAAAGAATTAAAAAAGAAGTTGGACATCCAGGCAAAATCCAACACAAAGCCTACTACTTCCTCGTCCTCTGCCCGGTCCACACCTTCTCCCAAAAATAAACCTTCCCGTCCATCTTCTCCAACAAAAGCCCGTCCTCTCAGCAGAGATCCCTGCCCATATAATCATAGATCATTTTACACCTCCCTTCACACTCCCAGCCCTTCTCCTGTTAAGCAATGTTCGTCCTACACCCCTCGGCATACACCTAGCCCTTCCCCCGTCAAAAAAAAATCTGAAATGCCTCCTCCAGCGTCCAAGCAGGAGCGAAGCCCCTCTCAAACACAAAAAGAAACAAGAAAAAAAATTCATCTTTAATTCGGGCAAAGACATCTGCAGAATTTCATCAGCTCAAGCAGAGAGAGCCCAGGATTATGGTAATCGAATTAAGGATTTAAAATACCTTCTTTCGATTAGGCAATATGCCGACCTGGACGTAGAAGTGCCCTACAATTTCCCACAAGCCCAAAGGGTATTAACAGTGGTACGGACAGGAACTGGTGCCAAGCCTTGCCCTTTGCCATCATGCAAAATGAA